TTATGATTGTCAAGTTTTTAGATGGCACCATGGATGTTTTAACTATAGTATTTATTCTATGTAAACCATTAAGAATCTTGTTTGATTGCAGCAGGACAGAAACATGTTTAATAAATGAAAAAAATAAATACGTATGCTGATTACAGAAACAATTTTGTATTACTAACTGGAGCAGAGGGGGATATATATTTATGCTTTGATTCAGTTGACTTTTTTGCTCCTCATGTTTGCTTATCCTGATATTGCTACTTCTTAATTACTTACAAGGATATTTACCTTGTTTTTTGTTTCTCCTAAAATCTTTCTCTTGTTTCTACACAAAAATCTTGAAATTACCATTGTCTCTAAACTGAGTTAAACTTACTATATCTGTTCATTACTTATTTCTGATCCTCACAATCCAATAGCTCCAATTTACATTTATACTGTAAGTTCTTCTCTTAATGTTAACATATTTTCTTTAGCAATTCATATAATGTTATATGCTAACCACATAGCTGTATAGATTTTAAATAAGAAATAAATTATACCATATTCAGTGAGACTTATAAAAAAACAAATAAATATGTATAGGAATGTAGTTGAATTAAGATCCACATGTTTAAAGTATTCCAATTATCCAAGAAAGACCCTTGCTTTTTCCTGGGTAGAAAATAAATAGATAAATTTAAATGTCGCTTTTGATGAGGCCAAATGCCCCCGAACCGGACACTTATAGGAAATGCCCAAGAGGACAATAATAGTGTATTTTCCCCAAAATAAGACTGGGTCTTATTTTTTTTTGCCTCCAAAAGAGACACCAGGTCTTATTTTCGGGGGATGTCTTACTCACCTCTGGCACCAAAAGTCCCGCCCAGCAGGTCCACTTCTGGGGCTGAAGGAGCAGCTTCATTCTGCAGCTGCATTCTGGCCTGTATTTTGCAGTCAGGCTTTTCCGGAAGGCTTCTGCAGCTGAGGACCGAGCTATGGATTGAATCCATAGCTCAATCCTCGGCTGCAGAGGTCTTGCAGAACTGAGCTATAGATTGAATCCATAGCTCGGTCCTCAGCTGCAGTGGCCTTCCAGAAAGGCCTGTGACTGAGGAATGCAGGCCTGGCTGCAGAAGACGCCATAGAAGAAGTGGGCCAGCGAGGAGAGGCCTGGCTGGAAGGTAAGGGGGTGCAGAGTGTGTGGGGCAGATACCCCTACCCCCGGCCTAGCTTGATATTTAGATCTGTGCCTCGCCCCAAAACTAGAGCTTATTTTTGGAGTAGATCTGTGCCCACCCCCAAAAATCAAGCTAGGGCTTATTTTCAAGGTAGGCCTTACTTTCGGGGAAACATGGTATAGTCTTCAGTTCTTGTTTTTCATCATTTAGCATTTGGAGACAGTTTGCTTCTGATGCTGGGATAAATATAGCCAATATGATTATTGCCCATTGATGGACATGAGCTTTTAAAGTTTTAAAGTTTTTCTTAAAAAGCCATTCATATTGGTGAATTATGTTGTAGCAACATAATATCATAGTTTAATTATGTGTGATATGAATAAATATTTCCTTTGGGTCTGTCACGATTTTCAGCTGTTCAATTAATTGTATGATCTCAGATTTCCGTGTAATAAAAGAGAGAAGAAAACTTTCCTTTATTGCCTGTGGCATGCAATAAAATTAAAATCAAATTATCAATTTAATGGGATTGTCAGAATACATAAGGATTTTGCTTTGTCGTATCATTCTGAAATTTTATTAGCTTTCAGTGAGAAAGGCAGCACCCATATTATTATTGCTTTTCAATGTGTATCTGACTTAATGGGAAATACAACTTGTTATCACATGCTTGGTTTTAGAAGAATTGGTTAAAATAGGCTTTCCTATTTTCTCTCTCTTCGGATGTATTAAACTTCAAGACTTATGATACCCTAGCTATCTGGCATGGTACCAGGTCAGAACAGTCTGCAATATATCTTCCTTAAGTTAAAAATTGGTGGCCTATTCATTCTGTCTTATTTCTCTCTGTCATTGAGAACTCAATGAAGGAGAAGAAGATAACACAGTCTGAACTGCAATTTAAAATAGTGGATTAGAGTTTATACGCCCATTGTTATAAAATGTGAGCAGGCAATTAATAAAAAAACACTGCACAATGTTTTTCAGTTTTTCTAAAGCAGTTACTTTAGGGTGTTCATGTGCAAAAAATAGTAGATATTATTGTGAGGAACAATGTCTGATATGCAGAAGATTCCAGATTCAACCTCTGCACTCTCCAGGTTGCAGCTGGTAAATCTCTGTAGTTTACCAATTTTGTCAGCAACCCTTGTCTAATGGATTAATGTTCTGACTCCGTAAAAGGGAGCAACTTCCTATGTTCTTTTCTTTCTGTAGAGAATTGTGTGTTTAGAAGTGCAGCTGTTTCAATATATTTGTTCACCAATTTATAATCAGTTGAAGGGCAGTTTCCCCATCTGTTGTTTCTTATTTGCTGTTTTAATTTTTAATGCTTTTTTTTTTGCTCAAATTTTCTCTTCTTGGTAGTTTTAGAGTTCTCTCTTCCATTTCTTTTAACAGATGTTCTTCTGTTCCTGGAACACCTATTTCTCATTTTCTGCATGCCACACGATTATCATTACTACACCCATAGATTTGGTTTCTTTCTTTCTCTGCTTTGTTGTTTCCGCACCATTTCACCTGATAGCTTCAACTCTGTGATTTAATGTCAATTTTGGTAGAAATTGTGGCAGGTAATTTCAAAAACATGTTTAAATCAATCAACTTCCCAGAATAAAGCTTAGCTCTGTGACCATTATACCCTTGGGCAATGCACTTTCTTCTTTGCATGTATTGTCTTCTTTCCCTAGATGAACTGGCTAGGCTCCCTAATGACTTCCAGAGAAAAGGTGCCAAACCACATGAAAGAGAAAAGGTATGGAGGTTCCCTTCTTTCTTCCTGTTGTCTCGTATGAAAGAAGATGGTTTGGTGGCAAGGATTGCAATAGGGGAAATACCTTGCCATATAGTTGCACAAGAGCAATGCCTGGTGGGAGAGGGACCTCATTGCAATCTGGCACTACTGCTTTACCTTCCAGCATCTGCTTCCTTCTGTAACTTATTAGGACACAACCCCGTTTTTTTTTTTAAAAGAAACAAAGCCAAAGCATATACTTTCAGGTTGAATGTAACAAGTATGCCTAAAAATGAGTGCCTTTACTGCAGGGATTAGTACAATAATCCCCGAAGAAAGAATTCCAATGCTAGATCCTCTGATGGATTAACTTGGACAAGTCTAGCAGGAAAGAAGAATGAAAAGTGTGGCATTTCCGCATTCCCTCCTTTCCACTCCTTGGGCATTTGTTTTGATGCATGCCCTCTCTTTGAAATGTTTAAAACAATTCTAGGCCTGGAGTGGGTCAGGATATTTTTTTGAAGTCCAGGGTGACTGCAGATCCTCTAGCTTCATGGGCTTTCCCAACATCTCTAGGGAAAGCTACAGTCCATTCCATTGTTACCTGTCCTCAAGTTGACATTCTGATGTTGATGGAGATAGGATGATAGACTCTTCTGCAGGTTGAGAATATTCAAGATGGGGCATCTCTTTCTCTTCAGATGCAGACCTCCTTTTCCATCCTTGATGGGGGAAATAAGGTTCTATGGCTCCTGAGATGTCCTTCAAAGTTCTATATGATTGCAGCGTAATTTGCTCCACAGGAGTTCATAACCAGATAAGGTACAAAATTTTGGGGGATGTTTCTGGAAGTACTCAAAATGAAATTATTTTATTATATGAGATTTAATAAAAGCAGGCAGCTTTATTAACCTCCTGATGATAGAATTGTTAGGTAGCTATAGTAAAGAAGATATACAAAGCCTGCAGAACATGTCTGGAATTCTTTCCAACCCCTTAATTGCAGCTCCACCCTGGGTCATGCGACAGGAAGAAGGAGTGAGTTTAGACTGGAACGGCTGGCAATATTCTGGATGGGTGCCCAGTTGCCTATTCCATAGGGATCCATGGGGGAATTTTTTTCTGGATGGTTTTTCTCTGCAAAGATTTGGCTAGATTTGGCTCTTTTTAAAAATCCTCTCTTTCTTTTACCAGCTTCTCCTGCCACTCCAGATGTATCCTATTCTGTTCAGTTTTGAAGTGTTATTATGTTAACAGACAGATGACAGTCATAAGAGTTTCAAGCCCCTTGACATCTCTCCCCCCCCCAATTTTCTGTTAGGTTTGCAATTTAAAACCATGCTCATTTTCTTTCAATTCAGCCTCTCTTTTATATTCAACATTGAACAACATAAGGAGAGAGTGTATAGTTATGTTTAACTCATTTCCCAACCTAGAATCAGTCTGTTTTGCTGTGTTTCATTAAATTGTGGCTTCCTGTTTTGGATAAAGATTTTGCATGAATAAAGGAACCAGTCAAGAAATATGCTGCAGACTAACATTTGATAGAGAGCCATGAAGGCCTTGGAATGGATGTTCAGATGCTATGGTGCTGTGACGTATTTATTCCTACAAGGATCAGAATCATGCAAGCAATGATTTTCCATATGATACTCTATGGAAGTGAAAATTGGACTTTGAAGAAACAGGGTAGGAAGTGTATTGATACTTTTATGCTTTGTTGGAAATGATTTCTGAGACTATCAGGAAAAAACACAAATATGCATCAGAGAACAAATTAATCCAGGGTTCTCACTCAAGGCATACATTATCAAAATTTAGACACATTATCTTCCCTGACAAATCTGCAACTCTGGGAAAGATGGAAAGAAGAATAAAGAGCAAGACAACCAGCAAAATTAATAGACTCAATTACTGTAGTGATGGATATCCTTATAGAATATCTGAAGGACAAGGCTGGGCTCAGATATTGTCCTAGAGAAAATGTATGTAGTTTCCAAGATTCAATGCTAACTTGATGGCACATAATCAAACAATTATTTAAAAATAAATAAATAGCATAGGAAACACAAAACCCTGTATAAAAGTAGTAAAAGCACAAAGAAAACCCAGCAACTCACAGAGTTTCCAGATTATGGAGTCCTTCAAAACCATGTATTCCCAAGTGCTGGATCTGATTATTATGCAGGTGTCTGCAGAGAGAAAGGAGAGGCTTAAATTCTGAACATCAAACAGGCTTTTTTTCCTTTTTGTTTGAAGAGGAACTGTAAAGTGAACATTGAAGGTCAAGAAGTCTCATATTTTCACAGTTTTTAAAATAATAATGAATGTAGAAGGAATACATTCAAAATCTGAGAAATTTGGATATGGGTGTGAAAGAGAACATGTCCATATGTTTTTTATATATATGAAAACTTTCACTATGGCCTAAAGAAGCCAAAGATACCAGTTTGGGGTTCCTAGGTATATATGCCATTTTGAGCAGATCATAAATTAATTGACAAAAATGGCTGCAAGGGTCACAAAACACCTATTTATCAGATAAACTATTTTCTTATTGTCCTGACACAGAACCTTTTTCAAAAAAATGAAGCCACAGACAAGACACACTTTTCTCTGTGGCTGATATTTTTCTTAGTCTTCAAAATCCAAAGAAATGGCAGGGAGGGGAGAAAGTTCAGCACAGTGACATCATGCAGACATCACCAAGAAGAGGGAGAAACATAGCTGGGTCAAAGTGTTCTTTAATATGCCTCATTATGCCTTCAGATCACATTTCTTATCCTGACTGGAATGATGCAGTATATCCTTGCAGTAATAGGAATAGGAATATTCTTTATTGGCCAAGTGTGATTGGACACACTAGGAATTTGTCTCCACTGCATAAGCTGTCAGTATACGTACAAAGTGGGTAAGTCATAGATCATAAATCATAAGATACAATCATAAATCATAAGATACAAACATCAAGTGATAAATCATAAGATACTAATAGGAGAAGGTAGTACAGTGATGGTGAACCTTTTAGAGACCGAGTGCCCAAACTGCAACCCAAAACCCACTTATGTATTGTCGGGTGCCGGGTGGGCGTGGCCTATTGGGTGGGCATGGCCCATTGGGTGGGCATGGCTGCAGTGGTAACGGCAGACTGGGTGGGACTAAAAAGTTCAATCAATCAATTCCAACTTTGTGAGATCTTTTTTTCCCCCATGATTGATTGATTGAACCTTTTTTTTTTGTACACGGCGGCAGAGGCCTAAAGTGAAAAGGTTTTATAAAACCCAGCTGAAGTCCTAGGACTGGGGCGACAGCATGCGTGCCTACAGAGAGGGCTCTGTGTGCAACAGGTTCACCACCACGGAGGTAGTAGAAAAGATAAGAAGATGAAAAAGATGAGAAGATGAGAAGGATAATAGCAATACATCCTTACTACATGGTTAGATAACCTTAGGCATAAGGCAGTGCTGTGGGAATTAGGTATTTAGCAGAATGATGGCATGGGGGAAAACTATCTTTGTGTCTAGTTGTTTTGGCACGCAATGCCCTGTCTTGTTTATTTCTGTTTACTAAAAAATATCCCTTTGTTTGGCCATGATTGGAAAGAGAGAGTGGGAGTCTTTGCTGGAGAAATGAACATTGAGAGAAAAAGGGAAGCATTCCTATTGCTGAGGCAACCAGGTCAATGCTCACTTACTTTGACTGAGGCTTATAAAGCTGATGGGCTAGAACAGTGTTTTTCAAACTTGGCAACTTTAAGACGTGTGGACTTCAATTCCCAGAATTCCCCAGTCAACATGCCAGAAATCCACATATCTTAAAAGTTTGAAATCATTGGATTGGAGCAAAGAAAGAATTATATAGGAAAATAATGTTCCCTTTGCAAATATAATAATAATAATAATAATAATAATAATAATAATGATAATGATAATGATAATGATAATGATAATGATAATGATAATGATAATGATAATAATAATAATAATAATAATAATAATAATAATAATAGTGATTGGGGGGGAAGGTGACAGAAGCTGGGAATTGCATCCTACAAAATTTGGAGGCTATTGGTATAGAATTATGTGATAAAAGGGGAATAGATATATAATTTAATAATAATAATAATAATAATAATAATAATAATAATAATAATAATAATAATAATAATAATAGTTGGAAGGGACCTTAAAGGTCATCTAGTCCAAGCCCCTGCTCAGGCAGGAAACCCTATACCATTTTGGGCAAATGGCTGTCCAGTCTCTTCTTAAAAACTTCCAGTGTTGGAGCATTCACCGCTTCTGGAGGCAGATTGTTCCACTCCTTAGTTCTAAAGTCTCAACATCTTTTTTACATCGCGGTGACCAAAACTGGATGCAGTATTCCAAGTGTGGCCTTACCAAGGCATTGTAAAGTGGTATTAACACTTCACGTGATCTTGATTCTATCCCTCTGTTAATGCAGCCTAGCACTGTGTTGGCCTTTTTGGCAGCTGCAGCACACTTCTGGCTCATATTTAAGTGATTGTCCACTAGGACTCCGAGGTCCCTCTCACAGTTAATACTATTGAGCAAGGTACCCCCTATACTATACCTGTACATTTGTTTTTTCTTGCCTAAATGTAGAACCTTGCTTTTTTCACCATTGAATTTCATTTTGTTAGATAGTGCCCAGTGTTCAAGTCTGTCCAGATCCTTTTGTATCTTAAGCCTGTCTTCTGAAGTGTTGGCTATTCCTGCCAGCTTGGTGTTGTCTGCAAATTTGATGAGTTCCCCATCTATCCCCTCGTCCAAATCGTTGATGAAGATGTTGAAGAGCACCCCACTACACACTTCCCTCCATGTAGATGCGGTTCCACTGAGGACCACACGCTGAGTACGGCTGGTCAGCCAGCTACGGATCCATCTGGTGGTGATGCTGTCTACTCCACATTTTTCTATCTTGTCAAGTAGTAGGTTGTAATCTACTTTATCAAATGCCTTACTGAAGTCCAAGTAAATTATATCCACAGCATTCCTCTGATCCACTAATTTTGTCACTTGGTCAAAGAATGCAATAAGATTTGTCTGGCATGATCTGTTTTTGACAAACCCAGGTTGGCTTTTAGTAATGACTTTGTTTGCCTCTAGGTGTTCGCTGATTCATTGTTTGATTATCTTT